TTTTTTTTTTTTTTTTCATAAGGATACTGCCTGATTCATTGAAGCACGGAAAAAGCAGTAGTAATTTTTACGCACGCTAACGTCTTGCATACGAATACGACAAGTTTTGAGTTGCAGCATGATCGTACTGGTAACACTGGTGCGCTTGAACTGTTGCACCTTTTTCTCCGCTCAGCTTCCTTAAATATGTTATTTTCTGGAGTTTTTACCACTTTTCAGCTCCTAATTTTTAAGGGCAGTGTAGCACACTGCAAAACTGATTTTAGTACCACTTCTTTCAAGTTATCTTTTTTTTCCAAATTTTCTGTTTCGTTATTTATGTCCCAAACTCACTTTTTCGTACCTTTTGTCATGGATAATTTTGATGTCTATATCGCTTTTGGCATCCACCTCACTACACGTTATTGCTGTGAATTTGCTTATTACTACACTTTTTCTTGGATAAAAAAAATAAATTTATCATCCTTTTTGATGCACTTAGGAAGACGAGGTGAAAGCTTTGAAAGAGAAACTGGAGAAGGAAATGGATATGCTCAAAGTATTTCAAAGTCGCCAGAAAAGTTGTCTTGAAGAAAACTGTAAAAGGGAAGAGCAAAAGTTGGCAGAACGTACCTCGATTAGAAATGCAGTCATCGAAAAGAAGGTAACTTTTCACTTTTGAATTTCATCAAATACGCCTTATAATGGGCTCTCGCGAACACCATTAATAGTTGCCGTTTACGTTGTTTTTGCTTCGATTAGTTTTAAATAAATAACAGGACTGCTTGTGGATATCTAGCGTTAGTGATATTACTAGAATGCTATTACCCGACGAACGAATCTATGCTAGATCCTTCAATTTTGAGCTGTTTATCTCCAGTTAGTACCAAACGCCGCTTCCATGTATGTGCATCAAATCATCCAGGATCACTCGACTGCCCAAGATGTGTACTTCTTTCAGGTTAATAACGTCGACCTTTAATCCGCTCGCAAGCCGGCACTTTGCATCGTTTTCATTTCATCACCTTCACGTTTACTTATTTCACGCATTAAGCTTCTACAGCCCCACTTGTCTCGCGAGGGCTAATGGCAAATGAAACTGTTTCATTCTCAAAGCGTAGAGGATTTGCTGTTAACTTGATATTTACATCACTTTTTTAATACAGCATCCTAAGTACATCTCGATGCGGGTGTTGGAAAGCTGAGACGATTTTAAATCTCATTTTGCGTCACATTTCTATCGATCAGGTTAAAGTTTGGAGTGAGAAAAAGCATTGTGGTTGACCACCAATATTTGTTTGCTTCTTTAGCAGTTTCCACTTCCCGTCTTTCTCTGGAGTATTCAGCTCTGTGCTATCGAATTCTCATTTCTAATCGCCGAATACGAGAAAAAGAGGGAGTTGATATTGTCTCACGCTTCTAGCAGCTAATGTGATACACCGTGCTGCAGTTACTTGGGATTCAGCTTACCGTTTCGGCTGCCCTTTGTTAAGCGGAATTTTCTAGCCTCTTACTCCTCGTAAACAGCTTGTAGATATCGGACGGTAGTTCTTCAGATCTCATCGATTTTTTCTACAGCAAAGCAGTTTTCGACTTTTTCTAACTGCTGAGTGCCCTCCTTTTGGCCAGTTACAGACTAAATTGAATATTGCGGGCCTTTCCTATTTGCATTTGAAAAACTGCTTACCTTACCCCGTTGATAAACATAGGAGGAGTTTTTCGCCTGGTGACTTCAATTGAAATGCTGATATGTAATACGAACAAATCCCTGTAAATTTTCTGCACATGTTTCTAAGCGTTTTTTGCAGCTATGCAATGCGAAAAACGCATATTGAAGAGAGGTTGTCTGTGTGTGTTTGTGTGTGTGTGTGTCTGTGTGTGTTTGTGTGTGTGTGTGTGTGTGTCTGTGTGTGCGCAGGGCCTCAGTACCGATTTTTCATCTCGAGACCTACAAAAGCTACAGGGCTGAAACTTTGGGGACTTAATCTTCATGCACGTACAGGCCCCCATCTCCAAAATGGACGGTCTTTCCCGCATGGTACCCACGTAAGAGCCGCCAAAGTTTTTAACGGGTAAGCTGATAACTCGTGAACCAGAAAAGCTAGAGAGCTGAAATTTTATGAAAAGTTTTTTACGAGTAAGCTGCTAACTCGCGAACCAGAAAAGCTAGAGAGCTGAAATTTTATGGGAATGTTCCCCATCTAAGTAGGTACTAATGAGCCTAAACCCAGCCCCGATTTGGCGTGGTACCCGCGTACGGGCCCGCCAAAATTTTCCCCGCGTAAATTCATAATCCGCAAACCAGAAAAGCGAGAGAGCTGAAATTTTGAGTGAATGTTCCCCGTCCAAGTAGGTACTAATGAGCACAAACCCAACCCCCGGGTAAGCGAGGTACTCGCGTACTGGCCGCCAAAGTCATTCCCGGGCAAGTTCATAACTCGGGGATCTGAGATGGTAGAAGACTGTAACATTAAGAGGCTGTTTCTCGTCCACATTAGCCTCAACAAGTTCAAACCCAGCCCTGGTCATGCATGGTACCTACGCACGGGTTCGCCAAAGTTTTTCTCGAGTAAGCTCATAACTCGAGAACCTGTAAAGCTGAAAGACTGCAGTTGTAGGAAGATGTTCCCTGTCCAGGTAAGTCTCAACGAGCTCAAACCCAGACATCGGGTATGCGTGGTCCCGAGTGCGGGTTTGTGAAAAATTTTTTCCAGTAAATTGCTAACTCAGGAGCCAGGAAAGCTAGAAAGCTGGAATTTTAAGGGGGTGTTTCCTGCCAGTTTTGGCGGCTAGTCTAAATTTGTTTAGCAAAAAAGATCTGCCGAAAAAAACCGATGCCGGTAGCGACAAAAAATGCGGGGAACTATGCGAAAAACGCATTTTCGCGCGGGCAGCCCGTGCGTTGGCCAGTTATTGATATTTGCTTTGGCCGAAGTCCATTTTCGTTGTTCAGCGCCTACATTGAAAGGCAGCACATCAGTTTTCTCCTGCTCTTATTCTGGCTATGCTTCTTTTGAATTGTCTTATGCATTAGAAAAGAACGCCACATTTGGATGAATAAGACAAACAAGTTTGAATTCGTTATAGCGTCGTGACGCAGCACTCCAGTGAAATTTACTGCTGGTAGCTCGCAAAGGTGCGATATGCATTGTTTAGCGGGAAGATTTTGCAGACTTCTTATGTTTGTACTGTTTTTGAATCATAATTTGTTGCATACTTGACAGATGGAGGAAGAAAAGGCGTCACTGGAGAATGAGCGCCAAAAGGTGCTCAGGGCGCTTGAAGAAAAGCATAGTGCTGAAGTGGCGGCATTTGATGATGAAGAGAAAAAGGCGGAAGGCGAGCAGTTGCAGCATATCTCCACAACGGCTTCGCAGTTCAGTTCACAGAAGGCGCTTCGCTCAATCTCTGCAAGCTTTCATTCATTGGCTACAAATTCTTAGGTTTTTTCAATTTGAAACCGTGTTTCTTTGTCTTCCTTTTTGGAATGTTTGTACACTTTGGGCATTTTGAAGATTTCGAGTATTCTGGAAATTAAAGAGAGAAAATCTTGCTTCAAATAGTTGTAATTAAAGCTCAAATTTCTACAGAAGCGGTTCTCTTTTTATTATCGTAGGAACAAACTGCAGTACTTGGTTCCTCTAGAAATCAGCTCTTAAGTCGATTTTTGTAGAAGGAGGTTTTATTCAAAGCAAGAGTTAGAATAAAAAAACTGTTTGCCATTATTTCATAATGAAGCTGGATTTTCGACAGGAGAAAATATATGAAGTTGAGGGCAGACAGAGGTCAGAATAAATCTGGTGTTAAAATATTTCTTATCTCTCTGTGTTGCATGTGATTGTCATAAGAGGCTGCAAATTATGTTTTGCTTTCCGTTTTTCTTGCGTACGTTCGTATTTTCAGTCTAGCGCTTTGTTTTAGGAAGTGATTGTATTCTAAGATGCATCGCAGTTTCATTCTGGCGCTTCGGTTC